TTCAACTACTTATAACTTTGGGTCCTTCAAAAGAGGTGTGCAGAGACTCTTTAGCAGGTCGGCAAGATAGTGATGACTCTCGGGAGTAGTTTCGACTTCTGACATCTATTATTACACTGTAGCACTTTCCATTAGGTGTATTGCAGTCACTTTGTGGTGCCACAATAAAAAATAAAAAAGACTTGAACCCGAGATCGAAGTCATAATTTATCTTAAAGATTCTAGTTCTAACTAATCTTCCACATCCGGAAGAGGCCGGGATAACTAAATTATATAGTTGTGCAAAAAGGTTAAGTAAGATCCTCTATACATTTATCCGATCTTAAGGATTATGGCAAACTAGTTTTTTTATATACATGTTACATATATACAGGAATAATTTAAAACCACTGCGAAGATTTTGTGAAAATAAACTTTAAGTAATTTAAATAAACACGTATTTTTTATTTTGATATGTTCTAATACTAAAAAATAAAGTTATCGCTTATCAAAGATCGAGAATTTAAAACTTCATTTATGGACACCGCGCGCCGTGCGTCAGCTGATCGCTCGCTCGACGCCGCCGTAGGCATGTACTCGTAGGTACCTATCTACACGGGTCACTGAACGCTCATTTTGTTAGATTCGAACTAGATTTTATGCCATGATCTGAGGTGTTTTCTAAGAGTAATTCCAATTTTCCCTTCATACTTTTATGGTTAAGGCCATCAAAATGCAAAAAAATAAAAGAGAAACAAATTCGTTACCTAGAAAAAAATATTAACGTTATGCCGAAGTTACATAGGTACTTCTGCGTTAAGGCGTATTTAAAAAAATTAGAATCAACTACGTATTTACAATAATGTTGAATCAAAACAAATACCTAACTAATTACTTACCATGTATTTTAATATTTGTTCAAAATGAAGTCCACGTCTGTCCAGACATAAACGTGCACATTTCATTAAATTGTCATTTAATTTGTTTAAAACACTAGTGTCACTTTTCACTTCACTGAAAGCGTTATTATTTTTTATTGTTGTCTTCTAGACTTTTGCCTCCTCTACATCTCGGCGTTTGACTTCTTCCCATAAGAAACAGTCCCTCACTTGTGAACAATGCCTCATCCGTCTACAAGATGTTTACATCGCGGTGATGTAGAAGCCACTCACATAAGGCTCGACGTGGTATTGGGTCTAGGTCATGGAACTGCTGAACCGGCTGAAAGTGGTACGGATGGAGTCTGGCTGTTTTTAGCAGCTTCAATACCGCAGGCTGGCTCACACCAAAGAGATATGCCGCATCGTGGATACTGACTCTGGGACTTCGTCTGTTAAAATGGTTCGAAGCATTAGGGACCGCGGGGTTATGGATCCCAAAGGCCCGCATACGAGGTATGCTCTTCGTCGCATACTTTCTCCGAATTGCGCTTATGTAGGTTCTCACCACTCAAAAGATAAACTCGTACATCTCGTAAAACTCACGACGGCGGGCGCGTCGCGTGCGCGGGAACGCGAGGACACGTCACATCGGCGCGTGCGTATGAGTCTCACTGTCGCGCGTCGCTCGGTCCCGGCGGGGCGGTGGGGGCTGTGGCGGGGGGCTACCGGGCGCGGCGGAGTTGCACGGTGGCATACGCAAGAGAAGACGTTTTCATTGAAGTTTTATTTTAAAAAATGTGTCCATATTCTACCGTTTCGATAGGGATAAAAATATTTAAAAATAAATTTTTAACTAATTATGGAAAAGTGTTCTATTACTGATACTGAACCACCAAAAAAAATTTTTGCACTGGATAAAAAATATTCCTGTATAACACATTAGTATTTCTGCAAAAACAAAATCAAACTGAAGAATCACATATAAGACAGAACGTCATTATATTAGAAGGATATAGCTAGAATTAGGCTACAAAAGAAGTCAAGGGATAGGGAAATCGCTACGCATTAACTTCGTGACCGAATAGAAGAGGCAATCTTAAAGGTGAATCTATGGGCAAGACGCGAATTACTTTAATCTTTGTACGGAGATTTCATTTTGCACAATAATACTTGCTTCAAATAGTTGTCTCGTGAAATATATATCACGAACGCTTCTACGAAATCGCCTAAAGTTGGCAGTTCGAAGTAAAAAGTATCTGGAAAAGTATTACATATATATTTATGTACACACATATATACGTAATACTTGTATATCAAATTACACAAGTTGAATTCAAACTAGTAGAGTTTGTTCAAATATTTTCAATACATTACAGATTAAAAACAAGTGGAGAAAATTGACAGTATAGTATAGTCTGACGTGCTGTTGACTGTACGTAATACAACATACACAGATTGTAATATTACTAGGTCGGTGATATTCTAATAATAATAGACTCCCGCTCTATAGCAGCATTAGAAATTTAATCAAATATAACCTTTATTATCTTTAGAAGTCGGTTTATGGTATTTTTAACAGAATACTTACGAAAGCTGTACACGTTTGTCAAAATAGCGCAGCAGTATCTAAGCATTAGTTCAGGATAGTGCATACGGCTGGCCTAAAAACTGGAGTAAGAATTTATTTTCTACTTATACTTGACGCTTGTCGAGGGTGTAGCGAGTAGTGAATTTTTAGGACTAAAAATAATTGGCCAATAGTTTTAAGTGTGATATTGTGATAGTCATCAACACATATATTTGTATATATATATATCACAGCCAACTGGTTAAAATAGTCATTTAATAAAACAGTCATTTCGTTCATCAACATTCTAGCATTTAAACATTTCGGCATCATATAACCGCTGTAATATTTCATTAATATATTTCTCTAACACTGAGGTGTTAGTTTCATTTTGTTGAAAAGATGTCGCAGAAGCTGGTTCTATAATCGAGATAAAAATTTTAAAACTGTTGCTAGTGTTATTTAAAAGTCACAAATCTTTATTATTTAAAATGTGAGTAAAACTTGTGGTATTTTATGCGATCCTAACATTTTGTAGTAAAAGTGCGGTAAATACATGCATTAAAAAAAAATACTTAATGTCGTATGATGATCATATCTTTTTTTATCATAAAGGATTTGCTGAAAATAAACTTCTTTTGCCGATGAATTTGACTTTAAAATAATGTTCGGTTACGTTATATTAATATTGTAAAATCTAGTGTCCGGTTACGCTAAGTGAATAGGTATCGTCATAAACGCTAGAACCTTATTTATACGCACGCACACCCTTTTGTTCACTCTTTTCACCGGGGGAAATTGATATTCAACTAATTACTTATGCATCGTCTGTATTCAATTTGTTCAACCACTTGCCTAATTGGCGAGTTCAATGAAATGGCCAGTGACACGATTAAACGCTTATTTTAACCAGATACGAAATGAATTTCAGAATGTATTTCTGTTGTATTTTAACTTTATATTATAAAAGAAAATGAAACGGCAATACTATATTCATTATACTTTATATACACATTAACACTTAAAATATATGTTTAATAACAGTTCTGTAGTCCGGTTTTAATAACAAGTTAATTTAAGAAATATATAATGTTATATTTAATTTAGACTTAATATGATCTGTAATAACTCTTAAAACAATATATTTTGGAAGGACTTAATATTTCTAGGTCTAGTGAAAACACATTGTGTGTCTATGTTTGTGCTCAAGTATTTGTCCGTTTCGAATTAGTTCAATTGCATCCATTTGTGGTGATTTATGATAATATAATATTATTGCAGTATTTCAATAAGCAAATTTTTATTTTTAGTTAATGTAGATAAATTATGTAAATGATATTTTTTTTGAGAAACGGGTATCAGAATTTTGTCAATTACTTTTCATACTCGTTCTTTGAAATTGAACGCCAATTTATAAATGGCATGTGACATTTGGTAATTGACACTAATTTTATTTACATAAATGAATCTTTTGTTGAAATTAAATTAAATATATATTTTTAAAAAGACTTTTGTATGATTTATTTTACTTTGGGTAAATTTAACTCATTTAATATACCTAGAATCAATATCATTGTGTATGTATTTAGTTTAACGGCCAGTTGCACAAAGGTAGTCAGTGATTAGTTTAAAATTTCAAATTTAGAAAATTAATTGGAGCTTAAATTCGTCATTAACCTTAATTGAGGTTTGTGCAACTGACCGTATGTCATTCAATATCATCATAAGAATATTCTACAAAATAAGCATAGAAAATATCGCACTAATAAATAGCACACATGTCAGTTTTAAGAAACAAAAAAAATTGTTGTACTCTTTCATCAACACATTCATAAAACGGCACCCTCTATCGGGTAGAATTTTGGTGCATCGAAACTTGTTTGGCATAACAAACAGACTTAATCTATCGACGAATAACAAAAAAACATCAATGGGCCTAATTGCAAAGTCTATCGCAATCCCTTTCAATTTATAGTTGTATACAACTACGACGATTTTGGCTGTGAATTTTCGGAGCGATGGTTAATTTTTTTAAATTATTATGTACGGCTGAACAGCAGGCTACCGTAATATGTCAAATTGCTATATTTTTTTTTAATCTACTCTGAGCATATTAAGGTTTAAAATCAAGTGAGAAATTCTTAAGATTTAAATAACCTGCCGTGCTATTGACATGTATACAAAATTTATGTCTTAAGACAATTCTGAGTTATAAAATTGAGTTTTGAGTGCATGCGGAACTAAATTTATGCCATTCGTTATCCTACGTATTAACATTATGATATAAAAAGTTCCGCCGTATAGTGACCCCTATCATAAAATCATTGAGATTTCAACAGTGTAAATGGTAAAAGAGTGTAAAAAATACCAAAAAAAGTTTTTTACTGCTACAGTTTCCAATAATACGTAATGAGCAGTATCACTATTACCAACTAGAATCTGGAAATTTATGTATATCACACATCATCTCAACTTGATGATCTTTATATACGCTTCTTACAAATTAGGGAACCGGATTCGATATCGTCCCCTGTCTTAAAAAGAACCAATAATTGTGTTCTTGCCTTTATTAAGTCGGTAATAGCTAAAAATAACTAGATTAAAGCCACGGAAAGGATACGAATGATTGGTAAGGTCTTTGACTTTATTTTGTATTAGCAAGTGTTACCGATGATTTAACTCGACATGTTACTTTAAAAAAAAAAGAGTCGTTTATTTGATCTATAATTACCTAAATACGCAGGATAAATCTATGTTAGAATACTGTTCTATAATTGTCACGTCTAATTCCTTTCCAATATTTTTTAACCATACCGTGCTTTAATAAACATCAATAAAAAGGTATATGAAATATACGTACTAGAATAAAATATATAGAATCATATATAAATCAATGTCTATTGGTCATATTACTTGAAACGATATTAGAACGTGGCACCATGCTGCAATACTTATTATGCTTTTTGAAAATATATCAATCGGTGATTTTCGTAATATATTAACCGACAGCAAATTTTTTAACAATGATAGCGATTCTATTTTGATGTCAAGTTTTTGAATACACATAAAGTTGGTATTCACATAGCTGAACATAATTTAATATTGATAAATACCTATATAGATGATGATTTCATATCCTAAATTATAGTTATAAATAATAATCCAAAAACTTATTATAAATAATAAGCGCCACTACTTATATGAGTTTAACTCCGCAAAACTATGTTTATATGAACTCAATATTACTCTTTGAATTATTCAAATTCATGGGTCTCGTCTATCGTATTCCTCATCGCAAATAATAGGTTTGCGGTCATCGCTTTTGCTTCCGCGACCAAGACGGCCTACACGGCGAGCTAGTGCATTTGTCTTTTCTACCGCTCCCCAACCGCCACTATGTCCACCACCGCTACCGGACCGAGATAGCAACCCTGTGACACCTTCCCCGAGCTTACTGTGGTGGATTCCATAGAGGAAATACAAAAGCAAACCTGAAACCAACATTTAGGTTTAGAGATATGCCAATAAATAAATAAATGACCTCTAATAATTAAGTACGATCAAAATGATGATTAGCATAACTGCAGAATTATTGAAATTCAATAAGTCAAAAGCTTAATCGTGTACATACCGAGAGTCATCCAAATAGCGAAGCGTGCCCATGTAAGTGCATTAAGATTGACCATCAGCTCGACGTTTAGGAGAACACTGGCGGCTGGCAGCAATGGCACCCATGGGACTCGGAAAGGTAATCGCGTAGGGCTTTGTTGGTGTGCATGAATTATCACCAGACCTGTTCAGTACAAAAGTCCCTAGATTATAATCACGAATGCTTTTTTAATATTTGTCAAGGTGAATAATGATGAAAACTGATAAATAACAACAACTTAATAAGAAATACAAAATAAATAATGGCAAGTATACTCACAAGCAATAATTATCAAATTGAGGACAAAATCGGGCAGCAAAACCCAAAGTCCCGCTGGTTCTGCAAGGAAATGGTTGTGAGCGCATAGCGCAGCTGCAGCAGCTGTGAACGTGTATACGCAGCCCGATACGGCAGATCCGGGAGCTCTGCCACCCGCTAGAGGCTCCAGCCATGCGTACTGTGGGCGTAATCTTCCCACAGTCAACGCTTCAAACATCTGTAATTTGAATAGAGGTGTTGTTTAATGTTAATATTATTTGAAAATATGCTTTTTCATATTTTTTTTTTATGTTTAGGACAACATTTAATGTTATTACCTCGGAAGATGATGAGCCTTCTGTAGCTGGAGTGCCTGTTGCAGAACTGTCTTCTCGATCAATTGGCGAGTCAAGTTGTGGTACGCCAAAATTTTTATCTTCCACTGTCGTAACTGGCCTGTATCGAAGTATAATAACTGCAGCGCTCACTATGGTATACGCGAGTAATGTGCCAATTGACATAAACTCTACTAACTTCTCTAAATCAAACAACAAAGCTATCAGAGCAGAGGAGAAACCTGATATTATGAGATTAGCAATTGGTATTTGTGACTTGTTATTTACATCACTTAGAAATCCAAATAATAGGCCGTCCGTAGACATAGCATACAAACAACGAGGCAGAGAAAACAGAGATCCGAGTAGAGTAGTAGTCATTCCACATACTGCACCGACAGCTACGGCGTATTTTGCCCAATCAGCGTGTACTGCCCCCAAAGCCGCTGGCAAAGCAGCTTCAGGATTTATGCTTTTATAGGGTACCATCAGAGTTAACGCTATTGCCACAAGAATATATCCAAACGCGACGACAGCCATGGAAAGCATTGTGGCAATGGGAATCGAACGAGATGGATCTTTTGCCTCTTCACTAGATGCAGATATGCTATCAAATCCAACAAAGGCATAAAAACAAGTAGCGGCGCCAGCCAATACACCGCTGAAACCATACGGCATGAAACCGCCATTTTTAGCAGACCAATTGCCAATATCAGCATAATAGAAACCTAAGAATATTACTAAGGATATCACTAGAAGATTGAGAATAGTAAGGCCGTTGTTTATGTAGGCCGAGGTTTTTACACCGACAGCGAGTATCAAAGAAGCGACGATGCATATTAGAAATGCTAACACATCAGGATATCTACTGAGGAGGGTTTCATGAAGTTCCCCCGTTATAGATATAGTAGCATTACTGATTGCACCGTCTAACATGGCGTCTAAATATCCAGACCACGCTCTAGCCACCGACGCTGCACCTGAAAAAAAAATACAACGAATGGATCAGCACTTTATTAATATTTTGTTATATTTGATTAATATTGGTAATTATTCTTAATGAATAATGCTTAAAAATCCACTTTGGGTGGATTGCCTGAACATTTATAAAAATACGCTACTTAAACAAAAACTTGTACTTCCAGGTCCTGAGCTCAGTGGTTAGAGCAGTCGCCCAGATTGCTAAAGGTCTTGGGTTCTTATCCCATCTCAAAGTACCAGGGACAAAGTGGATTTTCTAAACATTTTTAATTAAGAACATTAATATTTCTTCCAAAGTCTTACCTATCATGTACTCCAGAACGATATTCCAGCCAATAATGAACGCCCAGAACTCGCCAATACTGACATAGGTATACGCATAAGCGCTACCAGCTCTCGGTATTCTCGTTCCGAATTCTGCATAACACAGCGCTGCTAGTGTAGACGTAACTCCAGCAAGTAGGAAACTTAGAGCAGTAGCGGGACCGGCCATGTGACGAGCCACTGTTCCAGTGAGGACATAAATCCCAGCGCCAACCATGTGTCCAACGCCTGTCAAAGAAGAGTGAGTAAAAATATATTTATAAATAAGCAGGTATCTATATGTATTATTACATTAATGTTCATTCGCATTAAAAAGGGCTAATTGAGAATTCCGTCCCAATAAAAAAACGCAAAAATAATCACATATATTGTATGGGACACACTTCAATATCGCACGTTGAGAATGACAATGTCACTAACCAAAAACGACGTATTTTTTACTTTTGGTAACATTTTTCTTTGTTAAGTATAAACTTTAAAATGCAAAGATCCCTGTGCATATAGCTAGCATAGAAACTGCTAGATGGCGTAGCGATGATACGTTGTTTAGAGGGGCTGATTACAATTTCTTGAACTTTAAACGCTCATTACTCAAAATCGCATTTTTTGCATTGTGTCGCTATCGTTCTCAACATACGATATGTATATTCATCATGTATTAAAAATTTCAACTGTCCAGATTGACCGTTTATGAGATACAGCATGGTAACAAGCGGAAAGTTGAGTCTTAGTAATAGGATCTCTTGTTTACCTTTGGATTCGGCACCCTAAAATTAGAAATCTTCAAAGTATTTATTTATCTGCTAAGAGTACAGAACAGTGTAAAAATATTCGGATTCAATATAAATACTTACCCAATAAAGTAATATCAAAAGTTGTAAGACACCGATTGAGTGGAGTATCCAAGGCATCACCGTGTATAGATTTGCGCCGATTCATCTTGTGGCAGAACCCTGAGAGCACATGCCCCAAGATTCTGTGCCTGGCGCCCGGCATGTTGGCCTGTGAAACGAATATTGACTGATGAAATCTATATATATACCTAATTGTAATGTAAGAACTTCCTTTGTTTTTTGTGCGACTACGGCGAAAAGAAAAGGAAGATTATGATTTTGGCCGGTATGTATAACATATAAGGTGTGTCATACAAAATTCTAATACCTACAACGTTGACAGTATGAAATAGCTTATTATTTTTTCGTGAATTCAGCGTTGCTCCCATAGTAAAACTTGTTCAGCATAAGTAAATTAACTAATCCACCATTCGAAGTCCTGACATAAGAATGTTAATCTATTTGTTCCCTTATAACTTCGAAACTACTCATCGTAAATGGACAAATTAGATATCATTAGAAGCGTCTTAGTTGTCCACGTGCTAAGGGCTATGTGACGTTACATTAAATTGGCAACAGCGCCCTCTAGAGAGCATAAAGTAAGAAACTAATAAAATATATATTATTCAGTCATTTCGTCCAGGCTATCAAATTTATTAAATAAATAATAAGTAAATTCAAAACGAAAACCCGACAACAGCTAAATCACACCCTAAAAAGTTAGAAATAAGAAATTTAATACCTATTATAATGGACAGCGTAGTCGTATGCCACAACAGTTTTTTTCGTTATGATCAGCCTTAGAAACTAATATTTAATGATGAAAGATTAATATATAATTGTAATGTAAGAACTCCCTTTGCTTTTCTCACTAACATTAGAGAGAAAAAGGGACACATTTTTTCAGTTTGATTTCCTCTGCATGATTTTTTTATACAAAAATAAGTTAAAGCTGTTTCTGCTATGAATTGACCAGAAAATTTAAATTGATGATACTAATAATTATTATTTTCATTTACACTCAGAGAGATTTAGCACTCTTTAATTATATACGATATTTAAGACGCTATTTCACTCTTGACTACTAATGGGTGCCTGCTGTAATACATACCTATGAACAGGAAAGAGTTACGACCATTCAATTAAATTCACTGCATCACTAAAATATATAAATAAGGAAAAAAACTCTTTACCTGGTTATTTTCAAGCCAGCTGACGATATTTGCAATGGACTCACAAAAACGATGACGACGTCAAGAGAACTAGGCGCGCGCATTCGATCGATTCTTCCATACAACCTTGTTAATACTACGTCCTATAGTACAAGTAGATAAAACAAACAGCTATTTTAAACCGTAAATAATAACAAGAAAATCTCTCCTGAAACAATTAGTTTATTTTCCTATAAATAATTTATTGTAACTACACATAGTTGGTCTAAATTACGAGGTCTAAGTACCTATAGGTTCTCACTACCACAAATATTTACCCCTGTACACTGCATTCGACTAATTTTTATGTAGATTATGCGAATATAAATTCCATCGGTTTGTCAACTGTCTGATTCATAGATCTTTGGTTAATTGATAACACCAACTACGTTAAATTAATGTAATGAAGAACTAGCGACAACCTGTTGCTTGGTGAATACAAGCTTGCTCGTTGACCTGAAACTAGTGAACTAATTTTCTAAGCAAATTCATCCGATCCAATGAAGGACAGAGATAAATATACCTAGGCATAATGGTATTCACCAATATTATTGATGGGAAAGCTAAATATTCTTTAATTGCAGAAAAAACTGGCGAAGGTGTTAAAATGAAATTTTAAAACCTACTAATACTTCTTATAGGTTGGTACTATTTCCTTTACATTTTCAAAATTTCACGCCAAGTTCTTTCGTAGATCACGAAATTTCACATCCTTGCGCTCATATGAAAATTTTAAGTAAAACCTTCAAGAAATAACGAATTTGATAAAAAATGCAAACTTTGGGCTTTGGAAAAAACAAGTACTTATTAAAAAAAAGGGTGAAAACTATTAATAAAAACTTAAAATTTGAACAAAAACGAAAATTTCATAGACGCGATCTTTCTACAATTCAAGTCATTTTCAGTTTTCGGCATTGCTGAATATCCATCTGTATAACTAATATATATAAAAATCAAATGTTGTTCGTTTCAACCGCATATTAATATCCCCACTGATGTGGTTCAGGCCTTCCCTATGGATGGAATCGAATCGCATAAGAGAGAGTACGCATTAGTGGATGTTAACAACTGGAGATGCAGCTAGGACCAACAGCTAAACGTGTCACCCAAAGCACGGAGCGCAAGATTTTAAATTTTTGGTCACCCATCCCATGAACAGCCATTAAGAAAGTTGCTTATCATATCAGCCATATCGCAGACCTAGCGCGCCAACCCCTGCGCCATCGAGCCCCATAATGATTTAGTAAATGTATTTACGTGAAGTATTAAAAGTTGAATTAAATAATACTGACTTGAGCAACGTTTGTAGACCCGTGGTCCATTTTTAAATAAAAATATCATCATAAAAAAAAGACTCCTCTACGAGTGATATAATAAACTACGTTACTTACGAGTGTTACGAGCGGGTTCAAATTAAAATTAAATTATGTCCCCCGAGTATATGAAGCTTCCTGTATTTTTTTTTAAATTGGTTCACTAGTTTCGGAGTCTCAATAAAAAGAAAAAATCTAATAAAAAAAAGCATTTGTCTGGTTCCAACATTTTATTCAAATCCTACTTATGTTTGCAGAAACATTGGAAGTAAGAGTTTAACATAAATATTCAATCATAAAGTAATATGAGTAAAGTACATAAATAATGGCAATTAAAATTGTGTTGTTTTTCTATATTTACTGTCATATTATATGTTTATCTTTTTTAAATTAGGAGAGTTCTAACGTAAAAGAAAGTCCATATACTGATTGTTCAATAATAATTTATGGGACATCGTTTAGGCCCTATTCAATATTAGCCCACAATAGTAACAATATACAAACATTTATTAAGTAGGTGCATCTTTATTAGACATTTGATACACTTTGATATTATTTCAGGTCATAATATACACTGGTTATCATGGTAATCCAAAAAACCTTTATCAAGAACCTATATCTACAAAATAAAATGTGTGTATGATTGATGAACCACTCGTTTTTGGATTAAGTTCTTCGAATCGGTTTTCGCAAACCGGTATTATATTGTTCATAGTTTTAACCATTAACCGGGAAACAAAGATATTTCAAGAAATAAACCAGTATTCTCTCATTTATTACAAAAACTGAAACGATTTTTCAAACATTAGATAAGATGCTAAACTACATATACATATAATAAAAAACTGTAACCCTTTAACCTCGGTCATAACATGTTCGAGCTCAACAATCTAAACCGGTTTGATATAACCACTTTACACTATAAAAAAATACATAAATATTTTGAAGTGGAAATCTAGTTTATTATAGACACAATTCAATGTGAATCCTGATAAAGTAAATCACATCCAACATTTTTTATCTTTGTTCACATAACTCTATTATATTGTTGAAGTAAGGACGTCTATTTAATATTATGTGATTGATTATAGACAATTTTAATGTATCATATGAAACATTTAGATATGGCACTGAAAAGAAAAGTTGGAAAAATATTTTTGTTATCATTTGTACAATATTTAAGTACCTACCATCGTCTTATTACTATCTATACATCACATTAATCTTATAATTTTGTACATCAAATTTAAACACCTATTATCTATGTAACATTTTATATATAGATGTTATGATACATTATTTGATTATGATTTTATTATTAATATTTTTGCTCTTTTCGTGTCATTTAATTGTTTAATACTCTAACTGTACATATCGGGTAGCTATTTACGTATGTTTTATGTTGTGAAATTTGATGCGATTTTCTCTTTGTTTTTACACACTAATTACAATAAGAATGGACGTTACAATTAAGGACTGTGCTGTAAAGTCGTAACTTAGGTAACGAGAGTCCTTAGAAATCAATTAGAAGTACATTATCTACATAAACAGTCGGTGTACAATAATTGTTTCACATTTTTGTTAGCACCACGTCACAGTATCTTTAAACGTGCAACTTCTTATATAAACAGAACTTAAGTTAGCTATAAGTATGTAGACTTATAAGTTCTGTTTAATGTAATAAATATTTTCTTTTTATTTCAGTGAATTTTGCATTCGCAATTACAACGATATCTCAATATATTACTTTTAAAAAATACTCGAGAAAAAATACACCTTGAGACGGTTGTTTTTATTCCAAATATGCCCCTTTCAAGCTTTAGCATCTTAATAGGAAGTGTAAACATTTTTCCTGACAAGTCCTGACTTCAAATGTATATAGAAGGTAATTTAATTAAACAGTAAGAGGATTATTTGCGGTCCTCTCTGCCTAACCCACAAGGGATACGGCGTGAAGACACAAATATATATTTTTTTTTTAAAATGATTTTCCATGTATAATTTACAGGTGCTGCCATTGAAAGTAGTCATTTTAATACAACGCGACTTGAATAATCCTATATTTTTATTATACAACACAAAATACTAATTTTAACTTAAATCATTACGTGAATATTTTTTACGAATTTTATGCCCTGTAGAAATTATAACTTATGAAACTATTTATTCTAATGTACAAAATAAACTCGAAAAATAATATTATTAAAACTGCCACATGATTATTTAAATAAATCGCTATTTGAAATCATAATAATTATTATAACCCTTGATGTTAATTAAACTCATTAGATAATTCTTAAAATTTAACGAATTACAAACATAAAAATTATTAAGTTACAAGAAAATACAAAGTTAAATGATATGTTTTAAGTTTCAGTCTTGAGTAAATGTAGCGTTTTGGTATTAGGTTTTTATTTCATTAATTCAATAGATTTTGATAGGTATAAATAATTCAGAAAAATGTGTTAAGGTATACATTTGTACGATATTTGAATATGTAAGACCAAATTCATAGTTATAAGAAATAAGTAGGTATTTTATAAAATACTATAAGATACCTTTCGAAAAATATTATTTGTATTAGTGGCATAGCTTAGTTGGAGCAGGGGCGGCGGCCCGCCCCGGGCGGCACTTTTTAGGGGGCGGCAAAATTTTACACTATACAATAAAATTAGTTTTGAAAATATTTGAACCAATTTATATTTTTAACGCAACTATAAATTCGGACCGAATGAAAAGAGCACGGAATTTTTCATTACTTATTCTGTGACAAATTCGGAGAATACTCTTTATTTAAATAGTATTCTCTATGACAGCATCATCTCTACTGACTTACGGGGATTTCCCATATTTTATTTTGTGCTTGGATTGTTTATGACTTATAATCAGCAAGAATAACTTCTATTACATATATATTAAGTTCAATATTGTTTATTACGTCCCTTTAAGGAAGTACGTGATGCTTTGACAATTAAAAGAAAGTTATGATCTTCAGTTTAGTTCAAATTTTTATATGAAATATTATTGATTTTTTTTTTTAAAGACAAGTCTAAATCTAATCTGTATAATGCAAAATAATGACGATAATTTTCGCTGAAAATTCTTTAAAATTAATGAATATAATTATATAAAATACCTAATTAAGAGGGGCGGCAAAATTGTTTTCCGCCCTGGGCGGCAGACACCCACGCTACGCCACTGATTTGTATGGACATATTATTGAATAGTAATGTTATACCCATTTTTTTAAAATTTGTGCAACACCATAATGCATTAAAAATTTTGTGACAAAATTGTTCATATTTTTATTTTTATTGTGACATATTATTTTCATATTTCTTAGTATGAATCGAATATTAATCGACATTATTATTATCAATGTAAGAAGTGCATGGTCCCAATAGTAAAAACGTATGTAATACAAAATAAATATGATTTGCATAATGACTAGATTTATTTAAATATGTTTTTGTTACTCGAGCCTATTTTAAACTGAACTTCAAACCACCTTTATTATTTAATTATACACATATGTACCTAGTTGATGATTTTACCATAGTCATGTTTGACTTGTTTACACAATGTTATATTTTTTTTATTGATTTTTGGAATTATTCTTAAATTCTTATGGGAATTTGTCAGCCAGCAATGTATCTAGGCCGAGTTTATAATATAATAAAAATATTTATAAATAAGTCAATACTGTATGAGTACATACCAAAGAGACAATTCTTTGGTTATCCACTATTACACACTTTACAACAATATATTAATAACAATTATGTATTACAAAACGACCATATATTACTTCACTAAACAAGACCTTGTAGTATTTGCTCGTATTTGCTCGAATACTTGTAGTATTTGCTCATATTTCTCTTCGTCGTCTGTTTCAACGTTTTCATTTTATAGTATACGTAGTCGCTTTGTAATATTTAACATTACCATTATATAGTACGTACATCTATACATAATATGAATAAATGTTAACAAAATAATCAAAGTAACTGTCAATTGTCATATCGAGAGACATCTCGTGGAAATACGATACCATTGTATTAAAAAACATACTTAACTGAAAAAAATAATAATTGATATTTCTATGTAGAAACTTATATTAAACGTATAGTAAAGAGAAAAGTTTGTGTAAACGTTAAAAAAATAAAAAACATGAAAACGTATGACACTCGTAAATGAGTTATCAATATTATATGTTCAGATATCTATCATAAATGTAAAGATTTTTTTTACGTATATAATTCCCATTATTACATCCAATTGGTTTGAGACGCTTGAAACATTTGTGTAGATAAATATCAAATAAAAAAATATATGTTAAGACATTGCCAATAAGATATTTAGTAAATAAAAAAAATTGATCAGCTGAAATTGCTATAAGGGGAGGGTATTTTACAATGATTCTTATACCCATGTGAACTATTAATGTTTCTGAATATTCAAGAGTGTTTCTTAATAATCAAAACTTCAGTGTATTCGCTCAAAATGTCAAATTAGAATTAAAAAATTTAAACCATTTCTAGTACGAGGTTGGATTTTTTTTTATTATTTAAACCACCGTTAATAGTTATGAAACAGTTATAACTAAGTATAATACTGTATCGTAACTATTTATAAAAAACGCGACACCAAGCTTATAGTTATCTAATAATTTTATATAGGTACAATTTACTTATTGCTCGTACTAGGCATACGGGGAGTAATTTCGCTTTATAGTACAACTAAATTATGGATACATCACCATCAAAAGTAGGTACTTAAAACATTTACGTTAAACAATACCAAAAACGCCTTCAGGAAATGTAGAATAACCGGTAACCCAAGCAAGTTAACCGTATATAAATTTTAAATATGCAACTGGCAGTTAGAAGAAAATTATTGAATAATATTAGGTATTTCGAATTAACTTATTCCCTATTGCAAAAATGTATCATGAGTTCTGACTTAACCTGTTGTAAGATACGTACGTCACAAGTCAGGTTACTACAAAAAATCAAAACATATTTAGGTAATAATATATATTCCGTTAAAGATCTCCATTTTCTGTAAGGTCAACATTTCTAAACACTACTCGCAAACCGGTTTATTTTTTAACCGGTTCGACCAAGGTACAATTGTTGGACTTTAAGCACCCTGAAATTAAAATGTTTTTAATTATCCGTTATATAATAAAGTTACGTTAATTTGTTGGTTACGCAAAAAACGCTTTTATGGGCAGTCGTGTAAAAAATACGATGTTTAATATTCTTCAATAACCTACCTGACGGACAGACAAAAATTTAGTCATCATCCTTACTGAATTGATAAATGAAAAATAAATATTTACATTACAACCGAAACACATCTTATAAGATATATAAAATATTGTCGAATAGGATATCGTCGACAACTATAGCATGTGTAAAATGGACTAAATTATGTAAATATACTGACGGGTATACATCTGTAATAATCAAATAATTATAATAAAATCTTAATCGAACATATTTTATAAAAATAATTATAATTTACTAACATAGATTGCGCAAAAAATCCTTGAATACAAAATTGTTTCTAAAATGTACCTATACTATGTCATAAATTCGAAAGCATGTGATTTTTCTAACCGATTATTACTAAATAAAACTATTGAAAGCTCTTAAAGCAAGGAAAAGTAATTTAAGTACAATAATTAAGTAAAAATGAACTCTGTAAAAACATATAAAAAAAATAATCAGTCGTAGAAACTACATTAAAAGCAATACACTGGAATGAACTGATCTAGTGTATTTTATAAAAAGTGCATAATTAAAGTACGATGGGAAGCAATAAAAAAAAAATACGTGAGGGTGGTAGTTGGTCAGTAATACTTGCCATAAAAAAACAAATAATTTTCAATGTTTAATATTGTTTGGGCCTAGGAAAATTTGCGATAAAAATGTTGTAATTTATTTATTTGAGAAGTCACTCAAATATATACGAGTGAACGAATGAAATATTAGGTATGCAGGATATAGTAATTGTTTATACGTGCGGAATTTATGACATGTAATTTGAAGTAGGTAAATTCTCTAACACCTCAATCGAATCGAACCTCAAACTATCATATAGCTGAAGAAAACACTTTAAAGAGGTGCGTACCTAATCCAAATCACTAATAGAAAATTAATTATAAATCAAATTAATCATTGGGTAAGTTTTGAGAATGTCGATTCTAACAGACACTCTTTCGAGTTAGGCATTACCGACTGTGCAGGTTGCATGGAAATAGAAAGACAGCCATTCATGTTTTGCTAAAAAGCAACGAAGGCAACCTTAACTTATCGAGCAATATCCAGTAGTAGCCATCACCGATTCAAACACCCAAGCTTTCCCGACTCGATTCCGGCTATATGCAATTTAGATTTTAAAAAGAGAGAGTCATCTATTTATCTTATCCAAATTCTGTTTTCAGTTCCAGCGAATCTACTAACTCAATTCTCTATTAGAGTAATAGCTATTTACATTACGAGACGCGAGTAACAAATAAAGGATATATATTATTCAGGTTAATATCTTTTTTCTGTTTTTAATTATGTCTATTTATTTGTAATATTTAATATATATTCATGAATATTTACTATTATAAATTAATTAATCTTGTTTTAATCTCAAGCTAGAAGTGCTTCAATAATCTGAATTATCGAACAACCATCAAACAATACGAGCACCGATCCCAATCTATCATAAAGAAAAAGGAAACAAGAAAAAATAAAATAAATATTGACATATATACAGTATAAAGTCCTTTCTTGGGTGGACGTTGACTACTCAAAACAGAACTTTGGTCTACCAATTAGAAATTAACTGTCATCTTGGCTTCATAGGACATTGCATCTTCGAAGCTAATCCTCCATACCATACCGTGTTAAAAAATACATTTCTCTGCAGTGTCGTGTCGTGGCACGTCAGTAGCCTATTGATTTCATACATTCAGTATAGTTAGACAAATTTGTGTCGCAACAAGAAAAATATCTGTTTCATCCATATATACAAGACGCTACAGCAACAAAAACGACACAACACGACGCAATAATTGATTTCTGCCTTAAAGAAGCGCAGCAGCAACTAGCTAATGTATGACAGTGTGCGCGATGGGTCGCCCACATCTGTATTCTATATAACATGTCTTAACTATTAACAAAGAAAGCGAAAATATAAAATCTGGATATATCCAATGCTAAGAGAACGTACTAAATATTGTTCATTTTATTCATTATATAATGAATTACGGGAGAACGTTATATTTTTTCTAGTTTGATAGAATATAACCGCACACATTGTCGTACATTAGTAGCCGCTCGCGGAGTGGAAATAACCTTTTAGTCTAACTAAATTCATAGAGTCGTCATCGACTTCGAATGAAATGTAATAATGCTCTAAACACAAACGTGACATTGGCGGAATTGTGTAAATGCAAATAGGCCATGAATAAAAAAAGAAGAAGAACACGAGATTATATATCTGAAATTGACTTTGCTTAACTAATGATTTGCGGCTATTTACGCGATACAATAGATTAAAAACTTTCAACTTTCAAAAGCCGCCAGTTTCAAATTCACATATTTACATTATATTAGGGTTACCAACCGTCTTGTTTTCTCAGGACATGATCAGGTTTTTGTCATGTCCTGGAATGTTTTTGAACAATGTCCTAGATTTTTAAAGTGCCCTGATAGAGTTATATATTTTAAAATTCACGAATTGCTTTTGCAATTCTTACGTTGCGAGCGACTCACGAGTATTCGCCCTGCGCGACGGGATCATGTTGTTGAATGAAGAAAAAGTTTGTTATGAACTAAATTAGGTATTATTTCTTTAATGAAAAATGTTTAAAAAATTTAAAGATATTTATCATTAGCATAGCATTGTGAATGCAAATTTGATAAAATAATGATTGGTATTATTTTCGTCTTAAATATTATTCAATGACATACTTTTATTTGAAAATTTGTAGATTAAAACTTGAAATTTCATTTAACTATATTATTAGGTACTGAGTCCTAAAACCATAGCTGATCCACTGAGAAAGAAAGATACTGTGTCCTGATTTCTAACTGAATTTTCCTGGTTTCTAATTTTTAATCCTAGAGTTTGATTTTTTTGTTGGCCCTACGATATAAAAGGCGTCTTTGTGCTTTTGATAGCATTGAATTCACACTTGATTCGAAGTCATTGACAGCTATATGACGTTCATTGGTTCAGTCAGCAAAGCAGGAGGGCCTCCTGACAAATTGCCCAGTATAAACAAATGGGTAAAACATAGTTCTCATAACAATATCAATAATGTAACAACATAGTTATCACAAGACGTATTGAAATAGTACCTTACCCACAGAAATATATCAATTATAAAACATCAATAAATGTTGGAGTACATTTTCTCACCTCACACATACTATCAAGAAACAATTAATTGGGTAATTTATTTATTTCGTAGGTAGGTTAACCAACAACATGATCCATCACTTAGCACCTTAAAATTACGTTCATTATTATTTATTATATTATATCACATTTAAATTGCACATCTAAAACAGATAATGAATGACATTTTAAAATACTTAGGCGATAATATTTTGGACACATGTTAATAACGTTTGTATGTATGTCCACCACTTTTTTTAAAAATATGTGGATTTTTTATAAATTTCACTTGTCACTATCCTCCTGTTCCATTAAAGTACTGGGCATGTTTGGTATAGGGTGCAGCAATATGGTAAGGTGGCGGCGGTCCCCTACTGTACACTGGTTCAGACAAAACACTGGGACTGTGGCGATGGGCAACAACACTCGGTGGATTCGGAGCAGGTGGTATACCATCAAATAATTCAAACATATTTTGACTCGTTGGAGAATTTATGTGACTATAACTACCATCATCTGATATAAGAGGTGTATCTGTCATGCGATAAGGATTAGTTATATTTGTATGTCCAGTTGGCGAGTACAACTCTGGAGATTGTGATGATATATATGTAGGGCTAGATGCTGATGTACTATACATATTTGCATTTGGAGATGCATGATGCCCAGAAGCAGAATATTGGTGAGTATCAACACCACTTGAAGAATACATATTATTGTAGTTACTCAAATTAGGCATAGTAGTTGAGCTTACAACCTGGCTGGTAGTATGTCTGTGAGGATTTGTTAAATCACAACTACTGTGTGGTGGGTAATTATAAGAGTCAAAGTGCCTTTGTCCATAATTTTTTTCTTTAGAATAAGAATAATTTCCAGTTTTATAGATATTATCTGAATAGTTGCTGTCTGGCAAAGGTGCGCAAATCTGTTCCTTTCTAGAATACATTGGTTCAAAAGTAGCTGTATTGTCTACTGCAGTTCTTTGATTATAATTGCTCTCATCAAAGTGTGGTGTAAGGATAGTTTCATTGTTAGAATGGTGATCATGTGGGCTAAGGCTAAATCTTTGCAACCTGTTACAAGCATCATCCATATTCATGTGATAATTTCCATCATTTGAAACTGTATACGTTTTGAGATCCATATGACCACTATATCCAGTTTGTGATATATTAGTACTTGATCTTTCAACATCTTGTCGTGACATATATTTATCATTTGCTTTTGTGTTATATCTTTGATTTAGAATGTAATGATCATTAATTTCACTTTTGTAATCATTTTTAGTATTAGTTCCATTACTTTCAGAATACAAAGCATGATCAACACTTTTATATGTTTTATCTGGTTCATAATTTAGATCCAAGGGCCTATCATAAGTGTTTTCATTTGGAAGATTATCATAAACAGAATTTTTTGATTGATCTTTACTGATCTCATCCATTCCATTTGCTCCATGTTTTTCAATTAATACTTTATTATCAGATGCAAATCTTTGTTGTAAGGTAGGAGTGATTTTTGCTGCTTTTATATGCACTGCATTTTGCATAGGAGATATATCTTGAGTACTATCCTTTTGGATGTTTCTAGCATGTTTAGCCAGAGCTCTCAACTCTTTAGGGTACGGAGTTGGAGCTCTTCTTAATTGACCTGGCTTTTCAGGTACTTTTGGAGTGACTTTCATATCCACAAAACTTATATGTCGTGAAGATGACTGATTTTCTGTATTTTCAGGTTTCTCATTGTCTGTTTTAATTTCCATAGGAGTTAAAGGCACTTGGGGGAAGAGGAAACAAGTAAGGACTTGTTCATAAGTATGAGGATCCACTTCAGAATGCATAGGCACTAAAGGTTTACTTTGATTCTCAGATAGCCAAAGGGCCACCAAATTATCACAATTCAACAAAGATTGAGGAAGACAATTTAATGAATTTCTGACCAAATTTAAAACTCTTAATGAAGCTAAATGTCCTATTTCTGGAGGAATTTTAGTAAGTTTATTTGAACGTAAAGATAAGACAGATAATTTTGTACAACTCCCAATTTCAGGTGGTATTGCTCGTAACATATTTTCATCAATGTTAAGGTATTGTAATTTCCTAAGCAAACCAATAGATGATGGAATTTTTTCTAAATAATTGGACATAAGCATCAATTCCTCCAAATTTGCTAATTGTCCAATTGTATCTGGTATAGAATACAACCTATTGTTATCTAATTTTAAAGTTGTCAGATTGTAAAGTTGTCCTATAGTATCTGGTAATTGTGTCAAACTATTTATAGACAAACTTAGATCCATCAATTTTGTGCAGTATCCAATTTCAGGAGCTATTTCTTCTATCATGTTGTTACTAGCTTCAAGATGCACCAAACACTCTAAAGACTTGATCGCAGTTGGGATACTTGATAAACTATTACTGTCTAACCACAACTCTCTCAATTTCATAAATCTTCCAATAACTTCAGGAAACTGTTGAAATTCATTTTGTCCAATATCCAATCTTAATAGTTCAGTGGATCGAGAGAGAGATTTTGGCAATATCATAAGATAATTGTCACGTAATTCTAAAATACGCAAATTGGCTAATCTTCCAAAATTTCCCGGAAGATATTCAAGATAAGTATCATTCAAATATAGCTCTTGTAATGCAATTAAATTTGTAATGGCATCTGGGAGCTTTTCCAGTGGATTAACACTAAGATCCAGAAAGACTAAATACTTCAAAGCTTTCATTGTTTCTGGAATAGAAGCTAGTGTGTTTCTGCTGACATTGAAATGATGTAGATTTACTAAAGATGATATGGCTGTTGGAATGGCTTGTAACTCATTGTCACTGAGGTCTAGGTACTTTAGACCATGGCACATAAAAAGCTGTCGCGGAAGTTCAGTGATACGATTGCTCTGACAATTTAGAATTTCGAGTGTCCTTTCGTATACAAACACTTCCGTAGGAACGTCAGTCAACGATTGATGTGAATAATCCAGTTCGACCACATCCTCCACTCCAGGTCTCACACAACACAAAAAATCGAAAGGCATTTTGTAGTACGCACTCCCGTTCGATAAAGAAAAATTATCACCAATTTTCAATAATAACTAACCATTTATTATGCTTCATTCCACCTTATGAGAACTGGATGTTTTTGTATTTTAACACTATCATACATGATTCCACTTTATACCACATTTGATAAAGTTTCCTTTATAATTACATAAAAACTGTAACACTGAGCATGTACCACACAACAATGAATCACTCAAACAAAAAAAATTCATCGTCTCCTAGCCTTCCTTCACTAAATGACACATTATTGACAAACACTTGACAAATGTGTGGGTTTCGTTAATAGAGGTGGAAAAACGGCTTAAAAATTTTAAGCGTTGTTACGTTGTTCGATTTTTAATAAGCGTTTTTAAAAACTGCTTATTGTTTAAACGTTTTTTTCAACTGACCTTTGGAAATTGTTGTAATAAGTATGGAATGTTGTGTTGTCGTTATTTATGAAACTAACTTGCTTTGACTAAAATAAATAAAATTAAAATATTAAATTATTGTTAGTTAACAAAATATTGATAACATCTAATTTTTTTGTATTTTATTTAAATCAATGAATTTTTACTTTGTACTTAATGACAGGTTTGTGACTGTAAATCAATAAAATAAAGTTTAAGTTTAAATGAATACAATCAATTAACTTTCAACACAACGTGCGCCTACTCTAACAACGAAAAATGTACTGCTTTATTTTAAGTTCCGTTTAAAAAAGCGTCTGGATTAACCAACCCAAAAAGATGTTGCAAAATAGTCTAGATGGATATTACGCCATTATAATAATGCCGAAATAGAAAAATTGATTGAAACGAGTAGTTAAATCATGACTTGATAGATGGCGGGACGTATAATAAGCATAAGCATACTTTTCTTCTAAGTGAAAAACCGCTTTTACGCTTATTTGAAAAAGCATGATTAATTAAATGCTTTTCGTGTAAACGTCCATCTCTCTTCGTTAAGTTTTCGTTCATGTTTGGTTATAGTGGTTTCGGTCAGAATAGTATTATAATTATAATGTAAACCGAAAGCTTACAAATGGATTTTAGAGCATAGAATAAGATATATGTATATAAAATGTATATGTATATATATATGTATATATATATATACATATATACATATACATATTCGCTCAGATATGAAACTCGTTCTATCTGAACTCGATCTTCGATTTTTTCGGTCGATCTCAATGAGGAAGTATTTAAAAAATACGTAAGCACTAAAAAGCACCTCCACTAGATGGCAACTCTTGCAAAAGTTGATTTTTACAGGAAACGATTGGCTCAAAGATAGTCATTTCCGTTTCTTTTAAATAACATATTTAAAACTTTAATTAGAAAAACTTAAATTAGTTCGAAACTAAGATATCAATATAAATACGAATAAGTATATATAGAATAGTTGTTTATTGGGTTTGAAAACTGATTTACTTTTAAACTTGAAAGAAAACCGGAAAGGTTGTCATGGAAAAATCAAAAACGAACCATAGCGACATCTAGTTTGATTTCGGGAACTAAAGCTTTTTTTTAATACTTCCTCATTAAACGTACTCTTTGATCTCAACTGTAACGTATCGTGATCGTCCCAAAACGAACACAGAGCTAATTGTCTAATATTAAAATCTATCGCAATCTCTTTCAGAAGGTGTAGCGATTTATGAACTTGTGTAACCTTTAACATCACAATCTAAGCTTGAATTAACAAAAAAACTATTTTGTATGCACCTAAACACACAGTTATCTTCCGCTGGTGGAAAGCAAGTAGGTATCCCAATAATTTAGATACTATACGAATTAATGTCACAGAAAACGAAATTTCATCATTTTTATAATCTAAGGAGGAAAGACTTGACACTCCGTCTGATACACCTAGAATCGTCATGGATATGATTTTAACAAAATTATAAGAATCATTTAAAATTTTCCGAATTAAATATTCGATTAATTTAACGTATCTAAATGGTTTTCAAAGAAATGTGAATCGAATAAAGTTATTGTGCAAAAATAATTTCAGTTTTATGATTATTATCGATATATTACATAGTGAGATTGATTATTAATTTATGTATTGTGTCGACATTGTAACAAGAACGATCGGAGAAAATCACAGATAATAATGATAAATTGATAAAAAGAAAAAGATATTTATAACTTGTTTCAAATATTCCTTTATAGAGATAGAAATGTATTTCAGATTTATAACTCGTCTCTTTGTTTTTGACATCTGATATTTACCAGTATACTTATATTTGACTTTCAAGAAATATTTAAAAAACGAAAGCGTTAAAAAAGCATCTTCACTAGATGGCGAACCTAGCAAAAATGATTTTTGCAGGAAACGTGAAAGAAAACCGGAAAGGTTGTCATGGAGAAATCAAGAAACTATCGTAGCGACATCTAGTTTCATTTAAGGGACTAATTTTTTTTAAATACCTTCTCATTCCATTTCCAATTCCAACAGTATCTAGTGGTATATCTGTTGGAATACTACTTTTATCAAATGATAGCTGTAATGATAGTATTATGTAATATTAAATAAAAACATGTATATGTAAATATTGTAGCATTCCTAAACTTTGTGGTTGTTAGGCTAAATGACTAAATGCACTTGTCGTGCGAAGCCAATTACATATATAAATAAAAAAAAAAGAAACGGTTTATAGTTTTGCTTGGCATGGTAAGTTTTATTACAAAATATATTAAAAAAGATTCTTTCATATGTTATATACTATACTATAAACTCCTTTTATGATAAATCATGAAGCAGTTGTATCTATCTCTGCTGTTATTAGTTTGCATGTGGAGTAGTTTAGGAAAAAAATTTAACAATGAAGAAAAACCAGAATGGGCTAAAAAAGACATTCGAGATTTTAGTGATGCTGATATGGAAAGGTAAGTTTATAAACTTATTGAGTGCATAGTAGAAATTAACTAGATAATGCGTACGTTAGACGTAATATCAAAATATTCAAATCTTTTTACAGACTTTTTGATCAATGGGAAGAAGATGAAGAACCATTACCTGAAGATGAATTGCCTGAACATTTGAAGAAACCACCAGCACTAGATTTGACTAAACTTGATATGTCAAACCCAGAATCTGTTTTACAGGCAACTAAAAAAGGTCAAACGTTGATGATGTTTGTAACAGTTGCTAATAAGCCATCTAAAGCCAGAACTGAAGAGTTAACAAAAATATGGCAAACTAGTCTTTGGAGTAATCACATACAGGCAGAAAGGTAACATTTTATTTATTAATAAACTTTTGATCAGTGAATAGGGATGATGATTGGGTAAAAACAATCTATTTAGTCTGTCAGTCAGATAATAGAAAAATATAAGTTAGAAATTTATTTTGCTTCAATTTAACTAGAAATTACTTAGATAATATTGAGGGGTGGGCGCTTGCTATTTAATATTTTTTTATACTCCATAGAAATTAGCCATAATCCATATTCATGTAAACACGTAGTAACCCGCAAAACCAAAATTGTTCTTTAGAGCAGAAAACCTTTAATTTTTTTAACTACTTAAACTAAATAATTCCTATAAATATCTATGGTAACAAATAAGGTATTCCTTAGTCAAAAACAGAAAAGAGATTTTTTTTATATAATGATTTTCCACTCTAAATATCCATTTTGGTTTTGCAGTTTACTACATGTTTGCTTTCCAGCATCAATATAATTATCTCCAGCTTAATTATCACACAAAAAGAAACTTGATTTAATTAAAAAACTTGAAAGCTTGTGTTGAAATGTTACAGATACTTGATAGATGATGACAGAGCTATATTCATGTTCAAAGATGGTTCACAAGCTTGGACTGCAAAAGAATTCCTTCTGGAACAAGAAGAATTGAAAGATGTACAGCTTGAAAGTCAAACATATACTGGGAAAAAACCAGATGTCAGAAACAAAGCTGTAAGAGATGAGTTATAGATCTGAAATACATTCCCATCTATTTAAGGCAATATTTAAAACAAGTTGTAAATATCTTGCTATTTTTATTGATTTATCAATAAGTTTATCTTAAAACCAACCAACTTGAAATCAAATACAAGAGTACTGATTATTTGCAGTTTTAGTTGAGATGTGAGGGAGGAAAAGTGTATTATGTTTATTTATAGTTTTCAATTAACAGTGGTATTTGAATGAATCATTCAATTATGTTTTATAAAAAAGCATTCCTTGGAAGCATTATGATTGTAGGAAATCCTTTTGATATTTTGGTCTTGAGGACTTTTTGTGTTGGGTAACCTATTATCATGCTCATACAGCACTTTAAATGAGTTGACTCATTAAGTCCCCAGTTTATTAGTCAATGGTCTCTACTTGCACAAAATAAAAATATACTTGCAAAATTTTGTATATACAGTCAACAGTATGTCAGGGTAAACAAAACTAGTTTTCTACAGGTAATTTAAGCTTTATGTATTGATAGTATTGATAGTAAAGTTAAAAATCAGTTGAAGATATTTGACATATTGTGGTAACCTAATATGTAGCCATGTTTACATACATAAAAATACCAGAAGTAATAAAGTCCATCTTGAGCACATCTTCATCATCATCATCATCAGCCCTTTTACGTCCCCACTGCAGGGGCTCAGGCCTTCCTTAAGGATGGTTAAGCAGGATGGGCCATGACTCTCCACACTGGCCCAATGCGGATTGAAGGGTATTAACGACTGCAAATGCAGCCGGGACCAACGGCTTAACGCTCCTTCCGAAGCACGGGGTAGTTCGAGATAATAATTTTTTGGTCACCCATCCCGTGACCGACCCTTGCGAAAGTTAATTAACGACAACGATCGCGGGCCGCGGCGCTTATCCACTACGCCACCGAGCTACTTCTACTTCATGAGGACTTAAGCATTGTAAGCATTTGAGCAATAGGTTATTGACAATTTTCCCGTAAATATTTTAAACTAAAAGAATATAGGTCAGGGTTAGGAGTGATATTGGTCATTGATAATTATCTTGATAAATATACCATAATAATGAGAAAGTATTAAAAAAAAAGAAAGCACTAAAAAGGACCTCCACTAGATGGAGTCTCTAGCAAAAGTTGATTTTTGCAGGAAACGAATGGACCAAAGACATTTTTATATAAAAAATATTATGTTTCTTGCACATTATACCATTACACCTTGTCCCTGGCACCATGAGATGGGAATCGAACCCACGACCTATCGCAATCCGGGCGACTTGAGCGAATCTTGGGTGGATGCCCGAACATTTATGAGAATACGCTCTGTAGTAGCGAAAAGTAACAAGTGCTTAAAAGATTCGTCAGTCCTGTTAGGTCCTGGGTAGCTCAGTGGTCAGAGCAGTCGCCCGGATTACGAAAGGTCGTGGTTTCGATTCCCATCTCAGGGTGCCAGGGACCAAGTGGATTTTTAAGCATTTTATATTAAGAATAATTTTCAATATCGCATTGTGAATGCAAAATTAATTAAAATATAATTAAATTCTACAACAAAACAACCGTCCATTTATGAAATTTTTAACACCCCATGCAAAAAGAAGAGTGTCATAAGTTTATCATTTATTGTGACATCGATTATGAGGCCTAATGGAAATATTATTAAATATTGATAAACATGTTTTCTTTCTTCCGATTTTCAAATTAGACCTTAAGAGTTCAGTTTAAATAACACTCAAGAGTATGACAACCAGACCGATAGCTGACATATTGGTATGACATCACACACCATAGATTTTCTTTGAAGTCACGTGACACAGATCAAAAATAGTGATTTTATTTTGCAAAAATATACGTATTATAAACCCATTTATTAAAAATTTGCTGTGCCCGCGACTTCGTCCAAAGTAACCTAAGTTGCTCCATATTACATAAGCTATCTGTCAGTGGTAGTCCCGTTAAAATCGGTCTAGCCGTTTCAGAGATTAGCCGGACCAAACAGTCAGGCAAAAAATGTTATATGTAACATGTATACTAATATCCAATATGTATATTAATTTTATATTACTCTATATTAATTTAATATTGATTTATTATTGCAATAGGCTTTACTTGCAGTAATTCAAATAAGATTTCAATGCATTTTGATTCGGGTAGTAAAAGTTTGGTAAATAATAAATCACCAATAGATATAAGAACATTTATTTACACATATTGAAGTAAATTTCATTTAATAACGATTATAAAATATTACATACATGTTATAAATATTTATGGAAAATAAGCAGATACTGGTGTAACTTTATAAGTTGATCCTCGAGATGTTTTCTTTTCCCTGTAATCTACAGTGGGTAGAGAGGTGATTTTATTTTCTTTTCCTTTATTTCTATTTTGCAGTTCTAAACCCTTCGTTCTTGATGTACCTTAAAGTCAAATTATGTCCTCAAATGGCAGTTACATTGAATAAATAAAAAAGTTTAAAACCTGTTGTATATAACACAAAAATATAGGAAATAAAAAATGGTGGGTAAAAAATTTTCATGTGGGCCCACACTATATCGATTTTAATGACAATGATTTTTTAGTCTTCCTAAGTATCATCATCATCATCATCAGCCCTTTTACGTCCCCACTACAGGAGCTCAGGCCTTCCTTATGGATGGTTAAGGAGAATGGGCCATGACCCTCCACGCTGGCCCAATGCGGATTGGAGGGTATTAACGACTGCAAATGCAGCCGGGACCAACGGCTTAACGTGCCTTCCGAAGCACGGAGTAGCTCGAGATAATAATTTTTTGGTCACCCATCCCGTGACCGACCTTTGCGAAAGTTGCTTAACGACTACGATCACGGGCTGCGGCGCTAATTTAAATATTTCCTTTATATCATCATCATTCATCATCAGCCGGAAGACGTCCACTGCTGAACATAGGCCTCCCCCTTTGAACTCCACGACGGACGACATTGCGCCAGCTGCATCCAGCGGCCGCCCGCGACTCGGACGATGTCGTCCGTCCATCTAGTCGGGGGTCGACCCACGCTGCGTCTTCCGGTTCGTGGTCTCCACTCGAGAACCTTTCGTCCCCATCGGTTATCGGTTCGTCGAGCGATGTGGCCTGCCCACTGCCACTTCAGCTTACAAACTTTGCGAGCTATGTCGGTCACTCTAGTTCTTTGGCGAATATCCACGTTTCGGATCCTATCGCGCAAGGAAACCCCTAACATAGCTCTCTCCATGCCTCGCTGAGCGACTCTGGGCTTCTCTAAGAGGCCAGCAGTTAAGGACCACGTTTCAGTGCCATAGGTCATCACTGGCAACACACACTGGTTATACACCTTCGTCTTTAGGCACTGTGGTAATTTGGACGTGAAGATATCGCGTAGCTTCCCGAACGCTGCCCAGCCGAGTTGGATTCTTCGAGCGACCTCTTTGTCGAAATTGGATCTACCTAACTGGATTGTCTGTCCAAGGTACACGTAGTGATCGACAACTTCGAGAGTATCAGTTCCAATGACCACCGGTACGGGTGCAACATGGACATTCGACATGATTTTCGTCTTGTTCATGTTCATTTTAAGACCCACCTGATTGGAAACGATACTCAGGTCGCTGAGCATTGTACTGATGTGCTCCATCGATCTTGCCAAGATGACTATATCATCGGCGAAACGAAGGTGAGTGATGTATTCGCCATTGATGTTGATGCCGTATTCGTCCCATTCCAAGAGCTTGAAGACGTCCTCCAATGCATTCGTGAACAGTTTCGGAGAAATGACATCTCCCTGTCTCACGCCTCTGCGCAATTGGATTGGTTTCGTGCTCTCTTCCTGGTAGCGAATCGACATTGTGGCGTTGCTATACAAACGCTTCAACACTTCGACGTACCTGTAGTCGATTTGGCATCGTTGGAGGGACTGCAATACTGCCCAGGTTTCGATTGAATCGAAGGCTTTCTCATAGTCCACAAACGCTAAGCAAAGTGGCAAATTATACTCCTCGGTCTTCTGTATAATCTGCCGCAGCGTATGTATGTGGTCTATGGTGCTAAAGCCTTTTCGGAAACCGGCTTGTTCGGGAGGCTGGAAGTCATCAAACCGACGTTCGAGACGATTCGTAATGACCCTCGAAAACAGCTTATAAACGTGGCTCAGAAGCGAGATTGGTCTATAATTCTTCAACAAGGTCTTGTCACCTTTTTTGAAGAAGAGCACAACCACGCTTCTGGCGTCGTACCCTCGAGAATGACGGAATTGAACAATTTCTGGAGGACTAAGAGTACCGGTTTTCCACCCGCTCGCAAAAGTTCAGTAGTGATTCCGTCATCCCCCGGTGCCTTGTTGTTCTTCAGCTGTTTGAGTGCCATTCTAATCTCGTACAGGCTGATGTCTGGGATATCCTCGGTGTGATGTCGGGTCGGCTTTGCTCTGGTGTCCTGAGCATTGCTTTCAACGGGTTGTTGTGATGATGTGTACAACTGTCCATAAAACCTCTCAAGCTCAATCAGAATCTCCGGTTTTGAAGATACGATCCTGCCGTCGTCGATCTTCAGCTTCGTCATATGACTCGACCCAGCAGACAAATTTCGTGCAAACACCTTGGAGCCTTGGTTCCGCTCTATTGCCTCCCTAATACGTGTAGTATTATAGAAGCGCAGATCGCGTCGCATCGATTTGGAAATTCGTCTGTTAAGTCGACCATATTCCGACATATCGGTTGAAGATTGCAGTCTCATATCCCTCCGGTCCGCCATCAACTTGAGCGTTTCGTCTGAGAGCTTTTGAGATTTAATACGGCGCGGGGCCTTATAGAACTTAGACCCCACAGCTTGGACTGTTTCTACAAACCCGTTGTTTATTTCGTCCACAGACTCGCATTCAGCTAGACACTGAAAGCGATTGTGTATATTGAGGGTGGTGATCCGGCTCGAAGGACCAAAACTATTGAGGGTGCTGATCCGGCTCTATGGACCAAACTGTAGACGATGTATAACCGTGGATGATGGTGAAAAACAAAGACGAATTTCTTCTATAGACGTTTTATTTTTCTTCTTACTGGCTACTTATTACTGCTTGACTATACTGCTTGACTGACTTGACTTGACTACTTGCTGAACTGACTACAATATTTACAAATTTGGCCCTACCCTTATTCTAAACTTAACATCTAACTTAG